AGGAAGGAGCATTTGAGAATTTATGTGCTTCACATAATGCATCAAATTCTGTGATTCTGTTCTGTGAAATTCCTACCCTCCTCCTTTCCAAAAATCGTACTGCGGTGCTTCCCTAGGTGCCCGTTGTCTAGCCTGACTTTCCAAACTCACTTAMCTCTGGCTAAATAATTTAAAGGCTAGTGTAAATTTAATCCCACGCTGTTCCCCTGGGAGGCCCGCAGGCGCCGATAACAAACGTTCGTTCTGAGAAACGCACRTGGATTAGCGGGGATGAACGACGTCGTATTGACGAGACACTTTACAAAGACCTTCTCCAAACAGATGTGTGCTAGCAGGGACCCACGTAAATAAATAGATAAAAAATAATAATAAAAAATCAGAAGAGATGTAGAGAGAGTGATTTGTAAATACCAGCAGCAGGTAGGAGGGAGAAGGATCTGTCAGTATCCCGTAATTTCAAGGGWTGCTGTGCATGCCCCTTAAGAGGTAGGGGATTGGAGGGACTTTATATAGACTATGTAGTCTATATATAGACTATAAAGCTTAAATCAGGTGAGGGTTCTGTTCTACAGGTAAAAGTTTAATATTGTAAAATGCTATATGCAGTTCGTAGCAACTAGCATATAGTTTCTGCTCGGGTCTTCTGGTAGGACAATGCTACAGGGAAATAATTTTGCAAAGCTGAAATATTCGGATGTTTGAGCTGAACGTGTCTAACGTTGAGGTCTGTCTGTTGTAGGCACACTGGTGATGGGGCCTGAGTGAGGTGGCCTCTCTGGTGCAGCAGAAATGCCACTGTTTTGTGTCCCAGCCACCAGCCGTGGACCCCAGAGCTGGGCCTGGGAGGTCCATGAAGATATCCCAATTTTGGTGACTCAAATCATGAAGATATCCCGATTTTGGTGACTCAAATCTGTGACGATATGCATGCTGATTACCATAATAGTAGGGTTTAATGCTCACTTTTACATTTGGGAAACCCTGAAAAAGAAAGTGTTAATGTTAGATAGGTTGTTGACCATTATAAAAGTACTGTCTGTATTTGTTATCTTGCCAATTGCTAGTAGGTGCTAGAAACAGATTGCTTGCTGGGCTCAACAACATGTAGTGGTCATTTTGGCCTTATCTTGTGTCTCTTGACATGAAATTGTGCTATAGACAGTGGCAAGTTGAGGAATCCTTGCAAGATTTCCAATCAAATTGCCTGAATGCCTCTTTTGCCTACGTGCTAATCTATTTAACACTTCAAATTAGGAGCACCCTGTTCCCATATGCTCGGTTAATTGTGCACAAGRAACAGGTTTCTATGAATTAAAAACGTGGCTAGGTTTTGATGAAGTACTTCCTAGAGGTATCAAGCTTTTTCAGAGTATAAGCTAATAGCCTGTTAAAGTTCAGCCTCTAAGGATTTTCCTCTTGATTTCTTTTTCAGGCTAGAAGGAGGAATTTTTCCTAAATTGCTCAGTGTTATTTCTTTCCTCTTGCCAGTGCCTTTGAGCACAGCCCCTGTTCTCCCAAACTGCTTTTCCTGCATTCTCCCACTCTGAAAACCTATCAAGCTTTACAGTCAGGTGTCTGGTGAGCAGCTCCATGGCAGGCAATGGGACTGCACAAAACTGGGCTCAAAAAAAATTGGATTTTCAAAATCCAGTCCGACTTAATAGGCAGCAAAGTGTAAAGCTGAGCAGCAGGCAGAGGGAAGGCTGGTGGAATGTAGACACACAAGGACGACGTGGCTTTGCCACGTGAGCCCCATCTTCAAACTCAAGGTGTGAATCTGTGATATTTGGCAGCCTCACACTTAGAGCAGATGGCCGAGCGCCACACGTCCCTGCAAAATAAAATTGTGAACGTTTTTATTTAATAGTTCGTTGTCTCTTCAAATGCTTACATATCTGAGGATGAGATATGGTTCCTGTTTTGCTAATTCCGTTTAATTTCCTTTAGGTTCAGACATGATTTTTTCCCTTTTTTTCTTCTTTTTTAAAAATGTTTTAGTGAACAGAATTCCTTTGATTTTCTGGTGTTTTTTTTTTAGGGAGCAGATATTCYGTTTTCAAGCAGAAAAGAATCTGAAGCCCCTAAGTATCAGAACACCAAGACATCTGCATAAATCAGATGTTGGTAAATCAGAGTTTTATATAACAAGTGTATAAATATAAGTTTTAAGGGATGACAGAAAAACGTATAACTGCGTGTGAGTGTAACAGCTATGATGGCCATCTGTATAAATAGCCCAAGTGTCCAATTTTATAATAAAGCTGTATATTGGCTTTTTATTTTTTAGTGGAAAGGCTTCCCATTCCTGAATTTGTTTGTGTCTGTCCATGTATGGATGGTTAAGATGGGAATATACAGATTTCCGTTTCTCTGGGCTTCATAAAAAAACTACTGAAATGAGAAACTGGGAGAAATAAGCCCCTAATTGCACAGCATATTAAATGACTGTTCCATTTCTCTCCACACATGCTAGCTATAAATAAAACAAAAGTCTCTGAAAATCTGCCGGAAAGCTTTAAATTGGAGGAATATTGGGTCTTTGTGTATCCACAGTAGGCCAGCTAAGTTGGTAGACACTGGCTTGGCTCCCAGAGCGAAACTCCTGGGGCTCTGTGGCAGCAGCACTAAGCCATAAACACCAGATGCAGTCTATCTAACAAAATGAAATATCAGCTTTTTTTTTTAGAGTTGGCATTTCGGAAACACAGAGCGCATTTAAATGGTGCCAGGGGTTTCTCTTCCCACCTGAATCCCAGTTGCTGTGTTTCTGAACGCGCTGGTTTGGCATCGCACAAATGCTGTTTTCTCCTGACATGTGTGCTGTGTTCTCCTTTATGCAGCCACGGAAATCATTCTTCTCTTTGCCTGCCCTTTCACACGGCCGAGTGTTTTAAGAGAAACCCTGTAAAACACCCAGAAAGCGCTGCTGAACAGAGGTATGTGCAGACGAGCAAAGCGCAGCCTTGTTTTCTCCTTCCGAGARAGAAGTGACAGACTGGGAGTTCTAACAAATGGCAAGTGCCACCGCGGCGGCCGGGCGCGTGTTGGAGAGGATCACGTTATTAGCTGTGACAGTGCCTGCCAGAGCAATTTCACAGCTGTGCTCCTGGCTCGCAGGACCCCAGCACAATCTTCTCTGCATGTCACTCCAGCACTGCTTCCTGGTGCTCATTTAACACCCAGAGGAGTTTTGTGCGTGGTAAACAATTATTGCTGCTGATGAGACCTC